GCTAGCATCATGGATGCTAAGAAGCATGATGACCGCGAATTCGCTTATGGGTCTGGCCATATTAACCCAGAGGGCGCACTAGACCCTGGGCTTGTCTATGATGCATCTGAAGGTGACTATATAAACTTCCTATGCAAGCAAGGTTACAACACAACCACTCTGAGAAAAATAACTTGGGACAACAGCAGTGTCTGTACCAGCACGGAACCTGGAAGAGCTTGGGATCTTAACTACCCTTCCTTCTCGGTAGCAGTAGAAGATGGACAGCAGATCCTAGCTATTTTTAACAGGACAGTCACGAATGTTGGCTCGGAAAATTCCATCTACACTGCTAGCATGTACATACCCACCTCAATTGGCGTAACCGTGGAGCCTTCTGTTCTGTCATTCTCCAAGGTTGGAGAGCAAAAGTCATTTCTGGTGATGGTCTATGGCCCCCCGATCACGCAGCAGCCAATAATTTCTGGGGCAATCATGTGGAAAGATGGGATTCATGTAGTCAGAAGCCCACTTGTGATCTACACAATTCTCCCAGGCTCTACCTACTCTTCTTCCTACTCTCTTCCGCATAAAACTCCCAATTTTGAAGGTCTTTCAATGTACCACAAGAATGGGATTCTTACTGGCAAGTAATAAATCTCCTTGGACATCAGATTGAACTTAGCGATATCAACTAAGCTTTTTAAGAATATTACTTTACAGCTTCTTTCAATTATGGGTATTAGAAATCCTACCAACGACACCCCCTTGTCTTTTCTCTCCTTTACATGTTAGCTGCATCCAATTCCAGCCAAAGTCTCTAGTAAAAACAGAGAGAACAATAATAGAGATTTTTTCAGATTTATTTTTTTGCTTCCATTTGAAAATCTATACACTGGTTTTGCCGCACTAAACTTAGAAAGATCAACAATTGAGGTTCTAGTCAAACATGTTATGGCACAAGACCTCAGCAGACAGAAGAAATAAGAAAAAACCAAACAAAAAAATCCAAGCCACAAAAAACCATCGTATAAAATGTCTTTATAACTTGATAAATCACTTCTGACTAATTTATTTCTGATAAAGTTACAAATACAACATCGAAAGAGATACAAATAGAGCAATCATGCATGTCATCTGGGAAGAGGAGTGAAGATATTACATCAACCCAAATGAACAAAATTCAAAAAATACCAAACAGGGAAAACAAAAAGTTCAAACCTAGTTTTTTAGATCTTGACTGGCTTTCAATACAGCTTGAGCAGATTATGAAAGCAGGATTCCCTATTAAACATGGCTTGGGAATTTTCGCTTCAACTGAATCCTATCAAGCTTGAGCAGTCTTCTGATTTGGCTTGAATACATACTTGATAAGGGACTCCTTGATGGACAACATTTCTGGGAACTCCTGCTTCAACTTGGTGGCATCAAGCTCGTTATTGCTTCTTGGGGCAATGATCACCTTTGCCTGTTCCTCGAGATTAAAGTTCTTCCATGTGAAACTGGGGTCAATGTAGTCCCTATACATCTCTAAGATCTCATTGTGGCTGACGACTCCAGGGTTTGTAAAGTTCCATATCCCAGTAAGGTTTCTCTTTGCCATCTCAATAGATATGGGAAGGAGTTCATCCAAGATGGTCATTGAGTTGGGAATGTTCACTACTTTGTCATACCGGGTGATCTTAGTAATGAAGTTACGTGGATTGGTCAAATCAGATGAAATGGGCATTCTCACACGCAAGGTGCAGACATTCTCATAATTGTGGAGCAAATCTTCCACCTTCAATTATCAGTAAAAGAACACGATTAGGACAACGGTACCATGCTGCACATCTACGTACCAACTGCAACCAAGTTTTATCATCAACTAAGAACACAACGAGGCATGGAAAATGGTGCCCAAAATCTCAAAAAGAGGAACCATACTACTAAAAATTACAAAAAAATTAGAGGCACTGACTGCAGTTTCCAAATAGTCCATCGATCATACTATTATCCATGAAAAGTCCCTACCATCAAAGAAGATCAATACATAGGATGTTAAATTAACACAAAGAATCAATATCCAAAACGAAGATTTGGCCCCAAGAACCCAGAAAATCTTTCTTCAATTTCCCCAAACACTCAAATGGCATCTACAAGCAACATTACTTACGTGGGTACTCAGTTTAAATAGTTATAGAATATCAAGAAATGGGGGTACTAGCCCTTATCACTGTTTTAGAAACCATAAGTTCAACGTTAAATGTACGGATCACAATTCAAAAAATCTCGCGCTCGCATAGAAATGAGCTCTGAGTGGATCTTAAGCCACAAAGCATGAAGCATCGAACTTTTGATCCAATTTGGCGTTGCAGTGTGAAGAACAAGATCTTTACGTAGTCAGGAGATTAAACCAACAATACGATGTAAGCAATAACAGTGGAAAAGCAGCTCGCTAAACAAGAAATGGAACAAAACAAAACTCGTCAGATCTAGCACGTTACGTCTCATATGAAACGCTCTTAAAAACCCAGGTCAAGCATTTACAAAAATCAATTCTGATAAATTCAATCAAACGTATCAAAGATTTTAATAAGAAAAACCAATAAACTCACAGACATTTCATGTAAAGTAAGTGGTATACGAAACTAACCATAGCCTTGGTTTTGGAGTAGAAAGATCCGGTGAAATTGGGGGTGTCTTCTTCCTTGAAGCCAATACCCGAGCCAAGGGGATGATCCGAGTCGTACTCGAAGATGCAGCCAGTGGCGTAATTGATGAGTACGAGTCCCTTGTTCCTGCAAACATCAGCAAGGGTGAGGGTGCCGACCACGTTGGTCCGGATGGTCTCCACCTTGTGGGACTCACACCAGTCGACGTTGGGGCGGCCTGTGACACCGGCGGCGTTGAAAACGTGGGTGGGCTTCACAGCCTCCAGGTCCGCCACTAACGACTCTCGGTTCTCGAGCCGCCCGGAGCCGTATTCGAAGTCAATGGCCATGGATTCGCAGAGTTTTCCCAGGAGTCCCCCAATCCAGCCGGTCCGGCCATAGATCAGGAACTTCAATGGCTTATCCAACGAAGACCCGTTTGCTGGGAAGCCCATTTGAATAATACCCACGAAGCCTAAATCACAGAAACGAACGGAGGGCAAGAATGAGAGACGAGGAGACAGAGACCAAGAGAGGTGGATCTGGTAGAATGCACAAGTAAACGTTTTTATACGCGTTCTATGAAATTTCAATGCAAAAAAAAAAAAAATTACTTGATGTTATTTAATTCATCAAAAATTTAAAATTTATGGCTGTATTTTCGGTTTTATGGCAGGTTTTGGACCGGGAGAGTGATGCGTCGGTGAGAGAAAAGTGCCGGTGAGGGCGACCCCAGCATGCTTACAGTGACACCCCACTTGTGATGCATTCTTTCAAGAAATAAAAAAATCACAGCCACAAATATTTTCAGTGAAATTATATTTTTTATTAAACCGAGCCCATAGATGGTGAATATGTATTAGATTTTTTATGCAGTTTGGTGAGGAAGGTGGTGGGACAGAATCCTCTTTTCATTGTCCGAGAAAAAAGAAAAAGGAAAAATTAGTTCTTTAAAGGGAAAGAAGTGGAATATGATTTTTTTCGTTAAATAATTAAAAATTAAAAAAAATTGTTATGGTAAATTCCATGAATGACTTGGACATAGAGGCCAAAGAAAAGGCTTGAACACCATTAATGGCAAAAGAAGTATGAGAATATGAAACTTGCAAAGGAGGAGAAGAAATAGGGGGAAAAGAGAATTCTACTTCTTATTTCAGCAAAATAGAAATATTATTCATACTCAACTAATAACAAGTTTTAGTAAAGGGTGGTTTTCACTAACTAGGAATGATAATTTAATCTCACCAATTGAATTTTTTCCAAAAATTCGACCTTAATTTTACCTTGTAATACAACTAACAATTGATAATTAAGATTTTATTGTAATGGTATTTTGATCATTAGAGCACTGGTTACATCTTCTAGATCCAAATTCTAAATGTACATTTCACTATATATTGACTTTAATTAATCACCAAATAAATTGGTGAGACAAAAACCTCAACACAGTAATGAATGTCTAAGTTCTAACAATGATAGAAAGTATAACCTCACTTTTTTTTACAACAGAAAATTCTTTTTTCGGTGTCTGAAGTCCATACAACATAATCCAAGTTAGGACAGGGTCAGTATCCTAAATTGTGAGATTTTCTTGAATGGCTGTAAAAGAACCCAATATGTTTCCACCCACATCTGGGAATGTTTTACAATAAGGAAGAGCCTTCACCTTCCCTGTTCTTCCAACTTCTACTGGATACTTGAGAAGGTGACCCTTCATTTCAGTTACCTCATCACTTACATACTGTCTCCAGTTCATCTCACTCAAGTAACTAACCCTTCTCATGCATTCAAGGCTCTCGGGTCGCTCGAAACATTTCTCCAGACCTCCAATGTGTTCTGCCCATAATGACATCCGATATCCATATACCTGCATTCAAATAAGAAAACCTCCTAATTCCACCAGCACTATGATGCAACCATGAGAGCAATTCATGAATTAAAAATTGGGTCATCAATATCAGTTTTCGTTGGCTGAGGACATTAAGACATATGAGGCTCAACTGTACTGTCTGAGCAAAACCACCATGAGTGGGCGGAGGAAAATGAGTACAAAAATATAAATACATAATAGTGATGGTCAATGAAGATAGATGAAGTCTCATCATACCTCCCCTCGTGGACCAGATTTTTTCTTTGCCCAGGTGTGTTGAGGCTGATAGCCACCCATTGGTATTTCAGGGTCTATGGTGCCTTCCATGGATCGTTGATTAATATTTGCAGATCCAATTAAGAGGTA